AAACCTAGGTGATTGGTTGATAAGTGCAGCAAACCACTATGACACACACATATCTATGTGACAAACGTGCACATTCTGGACATGTATCCTGGAACTTAAAGTTTAAAAAAAAAAAGAGAGCTTTTTTGTTGTTGTTGTTGTTGCTTTGTTTTGATATTTAGTACATGAAGACTTAGTTTAGGATAACTATTTTTTATCATTCAGAAATATTCTTGTATTTTTAGTTGCCTTTTATTTACAAAATAGTTTTGTAAATCAACTTTATAAAAATAGTATTTGGATTTTAGTATGGTACAGTGTGTTTAGGTTTGACATTGTCCCTATTCCCCTATATTCTAGTGCAGTCCCCTGATTTCTAAACTTATGTTTTTGTATTTATGCAGACTTTCTGGCCCCATGGACATTTTAGCTGGAGATACTTGTATTGGATTTTCAAAGTGGGAAAAAATATGATGTTTTCCCAAATTTATTTATAAAGTTCATAGGAATCAAACTTAATTTTATTTTTCCCGGCTTTATGCCTTTAAAAAGAATGCTGTCAGGAGAATGTCCTCTGTGGTAAAATTTTGGTGCATGGTTGTAATCATAAAATACGAATTGTTTAGTTATTTAGTTTATAGTATATTACAGAAAACACAGTTATCGGCAAGGAAAAGCTGAGCTGAAGCAGGTGGATTTACAGGAAAAGAACAAGAATGGGGCCAAAAAAAACAAAACAAAAAACTCCTGAGAAACACACAAATGCATTAGGGTTTTCTTCCTCTCTAGCTAATGTAGCTGATTTGAAAGGAAGTGATTGCTTCGTTGAGTCAAGACACTTCGATGATTGTTACTAACCTTCCTCTGGTGGGCAATTTCATTCTCACTCTTATAGCCCCCAAGGAACTGCATGGATGCACACTAGAGGGTTTCCTGACCAAAGTTCATGTACAGTGTAATTTAAGTAAAAGCTCTGATTATGTTCTGTGCTGCTCTGAGTTAAATGATAGGAAAACCTGATATGTGTGGAAGGGCAGAAGGCAAGTGTGTGTGTTTTCCTCTCCTAGTTCAATAAAAGATAGCACGAGAAATGAATTAACTAATGCGATTCTAGACATTAAGCAGCTAATACTAGGAAGTTGGAAGCAAAAATAGAGTATCAAGAATATTGAGAAGACTAATTTACTGATTTATTCGTTTATATATCACATCTGTTTGCTTCAATGTAGAACCATACTTCAACATATATATGTGTATACACACACACATGGGATTGGCATATATTCATCTGAATATTACAAGGAGTTAAATATCAGCCATATTAAAATCTGTCGTTTTGGTATTGCTAAATGCCCTACTTTGAATTTCTCAGTGGGTCTGTTAATTTTCCTGTGAGATGATTTTAGATATATCCAAAAGCATACTCTGAATGATTAGGACACTTTAGGAATTGATTCTATTAGCTATCTACCTTCTGGTAATATACACCATATCCTTAAAACCATCCTACTTCATTAAATCCTGACTCCACCCAATGAAAGGCGGCAAAAGGAGCTACTGTTATGATGGAGTCCATTGTTTCTAAATTTATAACAGGTTCCGTGGGTTTACTCTTCTAAATTCTACCTGCTGTGTTTAAATTATAGGTTTATTAAGACAAGGAATAGCAATAGAAAGAAACAATCATTTTAATATTTGAGAGTGTGTTTTTATTTGATTCATAGGCTGACTTATGTTATGCAAGCAATTAGAAGGATAGCTTATTAAAATAATAATAAATACATTATAGCTTTACTTTCTCAATTGTCTTGAAAGCATAGTGACTTAATCCTAAGTGGCACCCTTTGTTTGACACAAAGGTGGAAGCAAGAGATGCAGCTCCCACCCCTTCCTGGGGGTCTGACCATCCTTACCTGGCACTTTTTTCTCATCACTTTTCACTATCTAATAAACTATAAAATATACATATTTATTGTGCTTATTCTTCCACTCACAGAATGTAAGGTCTGTGAGGAGAGAGATTTTTGGGTATTTCATTTTACTGCTATAGTCCCATAATGAGCACTCAGTGAGTATTGGTTGAATGAATGAATGAATATGAAACATTGGAAGGTGACACTGTACAAGAGTGCACTAGGAATTTCAGCAAAATCATTAGTTAACGTTGATTCTGGGGCTAGTGAAGAAGTTTGGGTTCCATTATTCACTTTATTAAATTGTAGCTTTAGGAGGTCAAGAAAAATTGAGGAACACCTACCAACAAATTGTACTTTCCATGACTTTATGACCTGGAGTCTTTTCTCCTTTGCCCAGATGTCAAAAATTTCTTTCCCCTGTATTTCTGACTGGCTAATTCCTAATCACCTTTCCAAAAACTTATTTCCAGTAGCCATTTCTCCAAGAAGTCTTCTTTGACACCCCCAATATGGGGTAGATGCTTCTCTGATATTCTCGACCAGAATTCCATTCTTTAAATCATACCAGATTGTATATGTTAGCTTCCTTCTTCTCCCCTGCTCTGAGGGCAGGGGTCATAGTTTTCCTGTTGTTGTTGTTGTTGTTGTGTTTGTTTTTTAAATTCAGACAGTGCTCAGTTCCTAGAAGGCACTCAATTAAAAATAAAAGTGTAGGGGTAGGTGGTGATGATGGGGAGGAGAGATGGGATGGGGGAATAGAGAAAAAATATGAATAAAAGGTGATGAAAGGTTAATTAATCAAGAGAGAACATCTAGGCAATGAAAGGATTAGGGTATTACAATAGGTTTCCAAGAGAAGTTTATTTAACTAAGGAATTCAGGTCATATTATAAGACAGGTAATATTCTAGGCACTGAGGGTGCTGCAGTGAGCTAAGAGATAATGTCTTTGCATTCACAGAGGTTATATTTTAGTGGGGAAGACAGACAATAGTTGAGTATAAACTATATTTGTAAAACAATGCTTAACAGAATGTAAAATTAAAATAAAATGCATTTAAATTATAAAAAGACATAAATTCTAGATATGTATTACAATATAGAACTTGGGGATGTTTAAAGGATTTCAGAACTAAGAGTGTCAAAGCTGTCTCTTTGCTCAAGTGACCTCAGAATTCTTTCCTTGTAAAATGCTGTACGTGGGATCCCAGAATGGGAAACGCAAAATGAATCCCTCCAGTATTGGCACTTGTAACCTAACACATGTACGTCAACCCACATGAAACACAGAAGGAACAATCTGTGTAGACCTTAAGGGGCCCTGTTTCCAGTTGTGTGTGGAGGCATCGAGCTCTGAAGGGAAATGGTGGTCTGAAGGCTCCCAGGGTGCAAGCCTCATTCATGTGCAGCTGGACAAGACCCCAACATCTCCACTGACAACAGGGATGCAAATGGTTTGAGAACCTAAAAACTAAATACACTACTCCAGACTTTTGGTTAAACATAACTTAACTTTTTTCACCCTCCAAGGTTTTGATTATCTTGGTAATATTTACTTGTCAGTTATAGAAGACAAATAATTTGAGTTTTGTATTGGATTGGAGAACCTTCCAGACTATGGGTACCAGTAGTTGATTGACAATATAAGGACTATGCTACCATCCTTCTGCTAATATAGGTGAATTATTTTACCAGCATATGAAAGGGCATAGTTAGAGTATCACAGTGCTTTGTGGTAGAGAAAAACAAAACAAAACAAAACAATTACAGTGAATGAGGAAGAATGGTGTTATTGCAGTACATAAGACTTTGATTACATACCACCAAGATTCCTATCAGCCTAGTAGTTGTTGACAGATAAAGTAACAAAAATGAAACTCATTTATTCTTTCCCTATTGAGACCTCAAGGTAAAGCAGATTTTCAGTTTTTGTACTTAACTGCGAACTGCGTTGATAGAACAGAGACCGACACAAAAATGTGTCAGTCCAGAAATAGAAATTAAACCTAGGTTCATATCAAAATTTCATTTAGCCTTGGAAAAGGAGCTGCCATTTGGATTACTTTTGATCCTAAGACAAATATACTAAAGAATATCACAGTATACCTGTTATGTATTAATCCTTCCCTGCGAACCATACTTTCAAAGTTGTTGTTTTCATTCTACAAGGCTTTATTTCTTTTGCAATGTTTGAGGCAACTTGAATTATCATCAGAGTAGCGTTCATTTTGCTAGCCACAGACATATACATTTCAGTCTGCAGGAAGTATGAAACTAGATTTGGAAAATTAATAGCAGACCCTTTCCTCTATTACAAAGTTATACCTCATGCTACGGTTTGATCATGAAGATAAGGACAGAGTAAGTGGGAGACGTGATGTGAGAAATTTTGGTTAGCGGTGTTGAGATTGTTGATGTGTGTGGGATAAATTTATGGCTAAATCATTTGTATCTTCCCTTCATGTTACTGAAGTTGACATAAGAAAGATCTATAAGCCAGCCTCTCCCTCCCTCCCTCCCTCCCTCCCTCCCTTCCTTCCTTCCTTCCTTCCTTCCTTCCTTCCTTCCTTCCTTCCTTCCTTCCTTTCTTTTCTCCCTCCCTCTCTCCCTTTCTTTCTCTCTCTCTTTCTTTTCACCTAACTAGCAACATGTACATTCTGCTGTAGTTTTTCATAATTAAGATAGTACTAAATGGCCTGTGGAATTCTAGACACAACACCATGATACACTTAGTGAAATATAAGTAAGTAAATATAATCATCAGTGAGTTCTACACATCATTATAATCCAACTACTTCCATTTCATGAGTATATCCCAAAATAGTTTGGCTTAAGATTTTTATTATTATTCTAAAGTCTACATTTGATAATTTTCTCATTAACTTTTTAGCAACAGAAAGATAGCATGAACTTGTTTCTTGAATTACCTTTCTGACCTTTTGCAAGATGATAATTACAAAAAAGGGAGGCCTGGAAGACTTGTAAAAAAATTAAGCTTATAAAAGAGCTAAAATGGTCCTTCTTTGCTGGTGTCGATTTCAAAATTAACATTTTGGTTCATGTGCTTCTAATAATCACTGACCCTTACCTCGTGTACTTTCCACAGGAAATGAATACGGCAGAAATTACTTTGACCCACTGATGGATGAGGAAATAAACCCAAGGCAGTGTGCGATGGAGGTCAGCAGAGAAGGTGAGCTAGAATTAAGTATGTAATTTTTGTGTCAGAATATTCTTTTCCATTCATGAAAATGAGGTGACAAAGATCACCCATGCAGTTCCATTTAGATTTTGCAGCTTACAATTTAAATGATAAGTTTTAACCACTAACAACATGATGGGCAGCGAAGGTAATTTTTCATCAAGGACAGTGGGCTGGTCAGATGGAAGAAACAGCGATGTGCTTTCATCTGATGCTACTGTGAACAGTTTGATGCCATCATAAGGCCCATGTATGTGTCTGAGGAGCATCATCACCTTCAAATGCATCTCTGCTTTTTGAGTTTAAAATGAGCATTCTTCAACAAACTGCATCTAGCATGTGAGATTCCCATATCCTGTGATGACTGAAGTTCTTTCCTTGAATTCATGGTACCACCACCTCCCTTTTGAGAATTATGAAGGGGAAGTGATATGATAGCAATTTCCTCTTCTATAACCTCGAATACTAGTTGTGGTTGTAAAATAATAATTCAGAATTGCTCCTTAAGTGCATAGTATTATACATATTTTATAGTTTACAAAACAGCGTTTTTATAAAGGTTATTGATGTGATATTGACAATGACAAATGTTACTTAGAATCAGCTGCAGTCTAGATCATATCCCACCAGTGGGTGCCAGTCATTGAGTCTGCACTTTTTCATAAAACACTAGGGTAAATTCTCACAAAAAGGACTCAAGCATAGTGCAAAGATTATTTTACAAAGTAGCTCTCGATAACCTATTTTTAAATGATGCAGAATCCACAGATATTATCAAAAGACCTATGTGCAAGATAAGACAAGGACTTAGTCTCAGAGTCAGTTTTCACTGGTAGCTCAAAAGCCAGGGTGGATGTGAGGCTGGAAAAGTTCGACCTTCTATATACCCAAACACACTTGGGGAGAAAGAGACAATTCTAGTGATTTCTGGGGAGGGGTGTTGATTGAATTACCATTGAAGTCTGTTTAAATTTCTTAGGAATCACAATATATAGTTATATTTGGTGGAATGTTTGTAATGCGAGGACTCCCTAATTTGGGAAAGGTAACTTAATAAGTTGTGTTCAATGAATAAGGAATGGTTCTAACTACAGACAGGTAAGTTTTATAAAACATTGCTGGTCACCTTTTCCCTTCCCTAGTCAGTTACTATTGTCTGACTCCCGCAGCTAACATGGGGTACCCCGTTTCAGAGCAGGAAGCTCTTTCTGTGTATTTACCTGTAGCCAGATCCGTGCTGGTGTGTGCTGTGGGAGGTGGGGGCTGGCCCTCTTACCAGCTGCGGGTTCCACCTTTCTAATGAGCCTCCTTTCTAATGAACTCCTTCGCAATTGTTTTTTATTTCCTCCACTTCCTTCTAATTGCCTTCCCACTTTTTCTTCTCCTCTGCTTTCATTTTTCCCTTCATTTCTTCCTCAGCATTTTTTTCCTCTTCTTTCTGAAGTTCCTTCTTCACTACAAGATACGTTTTATATATATTGGAAAGAGATTTTAGATTTTTTTTTGAGACAGCGTCTCACTCCCTTTACCCAGGATGGAGTGCAGTGGCATGATCACGGCTTTCTGCTGCCTCAACTTCCTGGGCTCGGGTGATTGTCCCACTTCAGCCTCCTGAGTAGCTGGGGCTACAGATGTGCACCACTACGCCCAGCTAATTTTGTCTCTTTTTAAATTGAGATGGAGTTTCACCATGTTGCCCAGGCTGATCTCAAACTCCTGGGCTCAAGCAATCCACCTATCTCGGCCTCTTGAAGTGCAGGGATTACAGGGGGTAGGCCACCATACCTGGCCTTTAGATTTCTTTTTCTCTCAAAATAGGTAAGGATTTATGTATCTTCATTTCATCTATCTAGGCTCTTTGTTACACATGCTATGGCTTAGGAACTCATGGTTGAAAAATAGGTTTTCTCCATTCTCCTAGATCTTCTGTAAGTTATGTTTTGTTACCCTGGAACCCTGTGTATTCATATGATATAAATGAGATGCACTGGGCCAAATGTGACTGGTAAAAGATCAGTCTGCTATATATTTCTACCACCTTCTAGGGTGTTTCCACGAACCAAAGGATCACTCCTAATAGCTAAGCTCTACTCTGTTTATGGTATCAAGAAAAGAAAATATAATGAAAACTCCATGAGGAAGGAGTTCTATGCATCTTATTCATTGGATGCTGTATATCCAGCACTTAGTGTCTCACACATAATATGTATGTGATACATATTTGTCCAAAACCCAGTGAATAATGTAGAGTCCTGCACTTTCATATTAACCCATAAACTTCGTGTGACCAGATACTAGATCTGTCAAGATTAGTCTGATATGCATGATACAGTAAGCTCCATTTTCTAACATTCCATTATCAAAGATAACAAGTTCACATCGGATATTTGAAAACACAGGCTGGGTGCGGTGGCTTACGTCTGTAATCCCAGCACTTTGGGAGGCCGAGGTGGGCGGATCACGCGAGGTCAGGAGATCGAGACCATGCTGGCCAACATTGTGAAACTTCTTCTCTACTAAAATACACAAAATTAGCCAGGCGTGGTGGCGCGTGTCTGTAATCTCAGCTACATGGGAGGCTGAGGCAGGAGAATCGCTTGAACCCGGGCGGCAGATGTTGCAGTGAGCCGAGATC